GGGTCATACGGCAATTTTCGTTATCGTGGACAGATTGTCAAAAATGGCCCACTTCATACCGCTAAGGGGGACCCCTTCAGCAGAAGAAACGGCCAGGATCTTCATCAAAGAAGTAGTTAGACTACATGGGGTTCCTGAAGATGTGGTATCCGACCGTGGGGTGCAATTCACCTCAAGATTCTGGAGAGCCCTGTGCAAAGCTCTGGACATTAAGCTTTCGCTTTCCTCCGCCTTCCATCCTCAGACGAACGGGCAGACAGAGAGAACCAATCAGACGCTGGAACAATACCTGAGGTGTTATACATCTTTTGTACAGGACGACTGGCTGACACTCTTACCCATGGCGGAATTCGCATTCAATAACGCGAATCACTCGGCTACAGGGCAGTCTCCGTTTTTTTCAAATTACGGGTTCCATCCCACGTTCATGCCTGACCTGTTGGCAGAAAGTACGGTGCCAGCCACTCAAAGCATGTTGGAGTTCTTCTCGGACAACAACAAACGGCTACTAAAAGCCCAGGAGGACAACAAGGAGGCATTCGATAAGAAACAAAGGGGAGACTTAATTTTGCAGCCCGGAGACAAGGTCTGGTTGGCAACAACTAACCTGAAACTACAGTGTCCATCCAAGAAATTAGGACCAAAATTCTTAGGTCCCTTCCCGGTGAAACGCATGATTAATGAGGTTGCTTATGAGCTGATCCTTCCTGAAACATTTAAGATCCATCCTGTGTTTCACGTCTCCTTGTTGAAACCAGTAGCCACAGACCCATTTCCAGATCGAGAAGCCAGACCCCCAGAGGCTATTACAGTAGGGGATCAGGAAGAGTTTGAGGTGGAAGCAATCCTGAACTGTCGTAGAAGGGGGGGCCAGACCCAAGTCCTGATAAAGTGGAAAGGTTATGGTCCTGAGGAAAATTCTTCGGAACCTGTTCAAAATGTTCATGCTCCTAGACTTATGCGGGAATTCGTGCGTGGTCACCCGCAGTGGAGAGATCAATTGGGCACCCGGAGGGTACCCATGGGGGGGGGCAATGTCAGGAACCATCGCGACGCATGGGTCTACACATGCGTAGGTGTCTGCCGAGACGTATAGGTGGCAGGGCACTAGGACCCAGGCGTACCTGTCGTCTGGACAGTACTAGACAGGCACTAGGACCCAGGCTACGCCTGTCAGGTGCAGGGAGGCCTATTTAAGCTAGCCCTGCACAGACACTTGTTGCCGAATGGTCTTTGTATCCTGTTACCTGTGTGTGAGTACTTCTGATCTGGATTGTTTTGACCTTGTTGCCTTCTCCCGTCCTGACCCCTTGGCTTGCCTGACTCTGCTCCCGGATGTTCCCGTTTAGATCTGACCTCCTGGTATTGACCCTGCGTGTGACCCGACTATCCTTTGCCTACCGTTTTGTACCTTACCGATCCTCTAGTTATCGTCCCGGCCTGCATGACTCTGATTTAGCTCATCCATCCACCCCGCAGGGATCACTAGGCTCCCTTACATCAGACTCCTAGCTCCCTGGAGCCCCTGTCAGACTCCTCTACCCCTGTTGGAGATACCTGGTAGTTGCGACCTGGTACCGGAGCGCTCCAAGTCCATCCCCACCATCAGGGGCCCTGGTGAACAAGTGCTCCGGTGCTTAGACTCCGCACGCCGGGGAGGCTCTACTGGGGGACTGATAGAGGTGCTGTCAGGCGGTCCCTTACAGGGCCTCTCGCCGTCGGGAGGGTCACTGCCTGTACTGTGGTCTCAGTGGGCATTTTCGGCAGTCCTGTCCGGTCCTTCCGGGAAACGCTCGCACCTGAGATCCTGTCGGGGGCAGATCTTGGGTGGAGTTTCCTCGTCCCCGGTTTCCCGCAAAGATAAACCGCTAATCACCGTTGTCCTCTCTTGGGCGGAGGGCTCGGGGACGGCCCAGGCGTTGGTAGACTCTGGTGCTGGCGGGTTGTTTATGGACAGTTCGTTTGCTGCCCAGTACTCCATTCCTCTGCAGGCTAGAGTTACTCCATTGGTCCTCGAGGCGATAGATCGCAGGCTCCTGCAACCGCCGCAGGTTACCCACGAGACCCTGCCGGTGGAAGTAGCTATTGGGGCTGTTCACAGGGAGTTGGCCTGTTTCCAGGTAATTTCTTCCCCGCACTACTCCGTGGTTTTGGGATATCCCTGGCTTCAGAAGCACAATCCGACCTTTGATTGGCGGTCGGCCGAGATTCTCTCGTGGTCTCCACAGTATGGGGCCGGTTGCATCCGTGGACCTGTTTACGGTGTTGTGTGCCTCCTCGGACTCTGTGTTGCCCACTGACTATGGGGAGTACCTGGACGTGTTTGACAAGGTGCGCGCCGGTGCTCTGCCTCCTTATCGTCCATACGATTGTGCCATAACCTTACAACCCGGTGCCACTCCTCCGCGTGGCAGGGAGTGTATCCTCTTTTGGTTGCGGAGAATCAGGCCATGGAGGAGTACGTTGCGGATAGGCTTTCCCGGGGGCACATACGCAAGTCTACTTCTCCAGCAGGAGCTGGCTTTTTCTTCGTGAAAAAGAAGGGCGGTGAATTGAGACCTTGCATTGATTTTAGGGGTCTCAATCGAATCACGATTAAGAATGCTTACCCAATTCCATTGACAACCGAGTTGTTCGACCGCCTCAAGGGAGCAACGGTCTTTACTAAACTCGACCTTAGGGCTGCATACAACCTCGTACGGATCAAGGAGGGCGACGAGTGGAAGACCGCGTTCAACACCAGAACCGGCCACTATGAATCCCTGGTTATGCCCTTTGGGTTGTGTAACGCCTGCGATCTTTCAGGAGTTCATTACTGATGTCTTTCATGACTTGTTGCAGCAGTGCGTGGTGGTTTACTTGGATGACATCCTGGTTTACTCTGCGTCCATGGAGTCTCATATCCAGGATGTTAAGCGAGTGCTGCAACGATTTCGTGAAAACGAGCTTTTCTGTAAGCTCGAGAAGTGTGAATTTCACCGATCCCAGGTTGCCTTTTTGGGCTACATCATTTCCGCTGTGGGATTTTCCATGGACCCTCAGAAGGTTTCGGCGGTTCTGCAGTGGCCTCGTCCCAGTGGTCTTCGGTCCATTCATCCCATTTTTGGGATTCGCCAACTTTTATCAGAAGTTTATCAGGAGCTTCTCCACGCTAGCCAAGCCTCTATCAGATCCGACCAAGAAGGGCAGTAATCCCCACGAGTGGTCATCCGAGACCATAACCACGCCAATGGACAAGGAACTGCACCCGACCACGGACCAACCGAGAGTTCAGGATGCGGCTCACCTCATACTCCTCATGACCGTCAACCCAGATAGGACGAGGCAGAGAGGCAGTGTCAGGAATGGATTCACCACTGGTGGTGGGACTCACCTGCCGTGTGGGCTGCAGTACCAGGGCTGGCCAGCGGGTGCTCTCAGCAACCAGAAGCTCACTCCTGCAGTCAGCCATCAGCTGAAGCTGATTGCAGGAGGTGTATTTAAGCAGGACCAGGCCTGTGATCAGGGCCTTGGTGTATGTTTCCCATGAGCCCCTGTACCTGGTATCCTGTGTTCCTGCTTATCTGCCTAGTTGCTGACCCTGCTTTGATCCTGACCACTGCTGACCGTCTCCTGTTGAACCCCTGGCTTGCCTGACCATCCTTCTGCCTGATCCTCTGTACCGTGCTGCCCGTGAGTTACTGAACCCGGCTTGTGACCCTGACTATTCTCTGCCTGCTCTTCCGGTACCTCACTGCCCGCACGTTGCTGACCTGACCTGCCTGACTACGCCTGACGCTACCCAGACGATCCATCCATCCTGCACGAATCCAGGCACTACTGTCCAAACCTGCCAGCCCCTTCACATCAGGCTTTCCCCCGGTACATACCCTCGGCGGACCCCTCTACCACAGTTGGGTGCACTCAGGGGCTGCGACCTGGTCTCAGTCCTGCGCCAAGTACATCCCCACCATCAGGGGCTCTGGTGAAAAGGCAGACTGGGGCTTAGACTCCGCGCCCTGGGGAATTCTGTTCTGTGGGTCACTAGAGATCCCACCGGGTGGTGCCTGACAGTACCTTACGGCCGGCTGACCATTCCACCTCTCCAGCCCTGACTACGCCTGTGTTCCTGAAGCCTTCTACTTCCCTGTGTCAGTCCACACATTTCTGGTCATACCCGGATCCTTAACAGAACACCAAGGCCAATCCTGACCAGAAGTGGCCACACAGGGAAGCCATCTTGGCTTGTTGTTTGTGGAGGATGCATCCTAAGGAGGTTGAGTACTTCTCTCTGCTAGTCTTGGAAGACAGAGTATATGGCTATCAGATTCTGAAGAAGTATGCCAGGGATCAGCTGCTAGAGTGCATGCGGGTTGCTCATTCACTAGTGGATCGGGCATGGAGTTTTCTGAGGTACAACCATTGATCCAGGTTTGTGCTGAGTTGGCTCTGTCCAGTACTCCTGAAAGCAGGGATGACTTTTTTTCCCCCATTTAGTGCAGATCAAGTGGAATCACTGATATGGCTGTTGGAGGATGATCCAGATTGATCCATAAGCATTATGCAGCTTGTCCATCACATGTGCTTGTGGATTGCATAAACGCAGTGCAGTCTTTGGTCAGACAGGCTATGTGTAAGCTGAGTTTTGTTCAACCGGTATTACAGATATGGTCAGATTTGTTACACCCAGCCTCAGTCAGCTTGCAACAACCCAGTCCTGCTTCTAATCTATTTCTACAAAGCTCTATTCCTGCATTCCCGACAGCACCTCCAGTTCCAGCCCAGTATACCCTGCTATGAACCACATGTCAGAACCCTGTTCCCACTCGCTGCACCTATCCTGTGTTTAATCCTGTAAAGAAGCCTTCTGTAGCAACTGCTCCTTCCTCTGTTCCATCCTCCAGCTCTTCTCTGTCTGCAGCTGCTCCATCTGTTTACAGACCTGCGTTTACTTACAGTGCTCCAGTAACTAAAACCAGGAAGAAGCGAAAATTCTTTCCAACCAGTACCATCCTGCCAGTATCCAAACCAGTTAGCCTGCAGTCTGAGACCCCGCCTTCTGTTCAGCCTGATGCCCGGATGCCTGATGACCCAGTGTCCGCTACCCAGCCGGATGATCCTACCCGGCCTGATGACCCGATCCAGCCAGATGACTCATTGCCCGCTGTCGTGCCAGATGACTCGTTGCCCACTGTCCTGCCAGATGACTCGTTGCCCGCTGTCGTGCCAGATGACTCGTTGCCCGCTGTCATGCCAGATGACTCGTGCCCGCTGTCGTGCCAGATGACTCGGTGCCCGCTGTCGTGCCAGATGACTCGGTGCCCGCTGTCTTACCAGTTGACTCGTTGCCCGCTGTCGTGCCAGATGACTCATTGCCCGCTGTCGTGCCAGATGACTCGGTGCCCGCTGTCGTGCCAGTTGACTCGGTGCCCGCTGTCGTGCCAGATGACTCTCGGTGCCCGCTGTCGTGCCAGATGACTCGTTTCCCGCTGTCGTGCCAGATGACTCGGTGCCCGCTGTCGTGCCAGTTGACTCGTTGCCCGCTGTCGTGCCAGATGACTTGTTGCCCGCTGTCATGCCAGATGACTCAGTGCCCGCTGTCGTGCCAGATGACTCGGTGCCCGCTGTGGTGCCAGATGACTCGGTGCCCGCTGTGGTGCCAGATGACTCGGTGCCCGCTGTCCTGCCAGATGACTCGGTGCCCGCTGTCCTGCCAGATGACTCGTTGCCCGCTGTCGTGCCAGATGACTCGTTGCCCGCTGTCGTGCCAGATGACTCGGTGCCCGCTGTCGTGCCAGATGACTCGGTGCCCGCTGTCCTGCCAGATGACTCGTTGCCCGCTGTCGTGCCAGATGACTCGTTGCCCGCTGTCGTGCCAGATGACCAGTGCCCACTGTTGTGCCAGAGGACTCGGTGTTCTGCCAGATGACTCGGTGCCCGCTGTCGTGCCAGATGACTCGGTGCCCGCTGTCGTGCCAGATTGACTCGTGCCCGCTGTCGTGCCAGTTGACTCGGTGCCCGCTGTTGTGCCAGTTGACTCGTTGCCCGCTGTCGTGCCAGATGACTCGTTGCCCGCTGCCGTGCCAGATGACTCGTTGCCCGCTGCCGTGCCAGATGACTCGTTGCCCGCTGTCGTGCCAGATGACTCGTGCCCGCTGTCGTGCCAGATGACTCGGTGCCCGCTGTTCTGCCAGATGACCCGGTGCCTGCTGTTCTGCCAGATGACTCGGTGCCTGCTGTTCTGCCAGATGACTCGGTGCCCGCTGTTCTGCCAGATGACTCGGTGCCCGCTGTCTGCCAGTTGACTCAGTGCCCGCTGTCATGCCAGATGACTCGGTGCCCGCTGTCGTGCCAGATGACTCGGTGCCCGCTGTTCGTGCCAGATGACTCGGTGCCCGGTGTTCTGCCAGATGACTCGGTGCCCGGTGTTCTGCCAGATGACTCGGTGCCCGGTGTTCATGCCAGATGACTCGGTGCCCGCTGTCGTGCCAGATGACTCGGTGCCCGCTGTCGTGCCAGATGACTCGGTGCCCGCTGTTCTGCCAGATGACTCGGTGCCCGCTGTCCGTGCCAGCTCGGTGCCCGCTGTTCTGCCAGATGACTCGGTGCCCGCTGTTCTGCTGCCAGATGACTCGGTGCCCGCTGTCGTGCCAGATGACTCGGTGCCCGCTGTCGTGCCTCTGTCCGCTGCCCAGCCTGACGTGCCTCTGTCTGCTGCCCAGCCTGACGTGCCAGCCTCTGATGTCCAGCTAAACTGGCCAATAACTGGTTCCCAGCCTGCTCCTGGAGATCCTGTGTCCAGTAACCTGCCTTCCTGGGTTCTCCTACACAAAGAAGTCTACCAGCAGGAAACCCAGCCAGCCGGTTGACTCCGGCAGTAGGATATTCAGCCAGTTACCTGACCCGGGCGGTGGAACATTTTGCTCACTTAGGACTGTTTGGAGCGTCCTGAGGCTGCTCCTTGGGGGAGGGGGGGGGGTACTGTCAGGAATGGAAATTTTAATTATGAAAATTTCTTGCAATCCAGAACGTTTTATATAAAAATAAAAACATCAGCATATATGCATACTGTAATGATCAACAGAAAGTAAACCCATACCGGGTTGCATTATGAAAGTCTTTCTTAGGCCTCTAAAGCCAAAATGTCCTGAGAAAGTTCTGCATGAAAATTACAGTTGGGTGCACTCAGGGGCTGCGACCTGGTCTCAGTCCTGCGCCAAGTACATCCCCACCATCAGGGGCTCTGGTGAAAAGGCAGACTGGGGCTTAGACTCCGCGCCCTGGGGAATCCTGTTCTGTGGGTCACTAGAGATCCCACCGGGCAGTGCCTGACAGTACCTTACGGCCGGCTGACCATTCCACCTCTCCAGCCCTGACTACGCCTGTGCTCCTGAAGCCTTCTACTTCCCTGTGTCAGTCCACACATTTCTGGTCATACCCGGATCCTTAACAGAACACCAAGGCCAATCCTGACCAGAAGTGGCCACACAGGGAAGCCATCTTGGCTTGTTGTTTGCGGAGGATGCATCCTAAGGAGGTTGAGTACTTCTCTCTGCTAGTCTTGGAAGACAGAGTATATGGCTATCAGATTCTGAAGAAGTATGCCAGGGATCAGCTGCTAGAGTGCATGCGGGTTGCTCATTCACTAGTGGATCGGGCATGGAGTTTTCTGAGGTACAACCATTGATCCAGGTTTGTGCTGAGTTGGCTCTGTCCAGTACTCCTGAAAGCAGGGATGACTTTTTTCCCCCATTTAGTGCAGATCAAGTGGAATCACTGGTATGGCTGTTGGAGGATGATCCAGACTGATCCATAAGCATTATGCAGCTTGTCCATCACATGTGCTTGTGGATTGCATAAACGCAGTGCAGTCTTTGGTCAGACAGGCTATGTGTAAGCTGAGTTTTGTTCAACCGGTATTACAGATATGGTCAGATTTGTTACACCCAGCCTCAGTCAGCTTGCAACAACCCAGTCTCGGTGCCCGCTGTCGTGCCAGTTGACTCAGTGCCCGCTGTCGTGCCAGATGACTCGGTGCCCGCTGTCGTGCCAGATGACTCGGTGCCCGCTGTTCTGCCAGATGACTCGGTGCCCGCTGTTCTGCCAGATGACTTGGTGCCCGCTGTCATGCCAGATGACTCGGTGCCCGCTGTCGTGCCAGTTGTCTCGGTGCCCGCTGTCGTGCCAGATGACTCGGTGCCCGCTGTCGTGCCAGATGACTCGGTGCCCGCTGTTCTGCCAGATGACTCGGTGCCCACTGTCGTGCCAGATGACTTGGTGCCCGCTGTCGTGCCTCTGTCCGCTGCCCAGCCTGACGTGCCTCTGTCTGCTGCCCAGCCTGACGTGCCAGCCTCTGATGTCCAGCTAAACTGGCCAATAACTGGTTCCCAGCCTGCTCCTGGAGATCCTGTGTCCAGTAACCTGCCTTCCTGGGTTCTCCTACACAAAGAGAAGTCTACCAGCAGGAAACCCAGCCAGCCGGTTGACTCCGGCAGTAGGATATTCAGCCAGTTACCTGACCCGGGCGGTGGAACATTTTGCTCACTTAGGACTGTTTGGAGCGTCCTGAGGCTGCTCCTTGAGGGGGGGGGGGGTACTGTCAGGAATGGAAATTTTTATTATGAAAATTTCTTGCAATCCAGAACATTTTATATAAAAATAAAAACATCAGCATATATGCATACTGTAATGATCAACAGAAAGTAAACCCATACCGGGTTGCATTATGAAAGTCTTTCTTAGGCCTCTAAAGCCAAAATGTCCTGAGAAAGTTCTGCATGAAAATTACATTAAGCCAACAGGCCAAAGGCCAGAAAGTAATCCAATGCATTATGTTACTCTACAACACACCATTATAATACAAAATGCTTACAACATTACCAAACCCGTAAGACTAAGAAACATAGCCCTTCAGATGCCTGTAACCCTTTTCCAAAAATTTCATCTAACAAAGCTAATGGAGTGAGCACACAGAAAGGAAATAAGGATAGCTTCCACACCCAGAGATCAACAGGTTATGAACCCGGGCCTGATGTTCCTCCATGCCTCCATCCAGGCCCTTCGCCGCAACCTGTCTTTCTCAAGACCCTGAATTTTCCCAACCTCACCAAGAATGCCATTCACCACCACCATGACAGGAAGGACTTTCTGCCGAAGGGAGACCTGACACCGTGCGTTCCATATGAAGTAGCGAATCACTAAACAGACTAAGAAAAGAGTGCTTAAATCATAACCCGTACGCCTTTCAAAGGCCCCATACACCCACTCCGCATAAGACATACGGTGCAGAAAAGGGATGTCTAGAGCCCTCCACGCCCTTTTTATATACCTCTATATTGAAGGGGCACTGAAGCAAAAAGTGGTCCATAGATTCCACTTCACCCCCACATTCCGCCCTCGGACAACCACGGTCGTACACAGAGCGGTACTTCAAGTTCCCCCTCACATATAGTCTGCCATGAAACACGAGCCAGGCCTGGTCCCTAAACTTCAAGGGAATCCTTTCCATGTTTATCAATTTTAAGCCCTCCAGCAGACTATGGCCTGGGCAATCCTTCAAGGCCAGCGGTGCATGGAAGGCAGTGGCCACAACCCTCTCCCTGAGAGACTTCCCAGGAAGTGATCTGACCTCCTCCTCCGCCGTCACACACCACCGCCGCAGAATTTTCAAGCTCAGGGCGACATAAGCCGGGAGCTTACCGTGCTTGACTCTCAGGCTTCTCACTGGCCTGCCACTCTCCCAGCTGCCAAGAAAGGGTCTAAACCACATCTGAAAAAAACCTACCCATCCAGGCGGCTCCTCACTCAGCATTTTACCAAAGTTATGTTTCAGGAACATAACGGAGAAGAAAACCACCGGGTTGACCATTCCTAAGCCACCCTCCCGCCTGGAAAGGTAGGTAACATTCCGCTTCACAAGGTTCAACCTGTTCCCCCACAAAAGCTGGAAGAAACAGCTGTAGACCCTCATATAGACAGATTCTGGCAAGAGGCAGACATAGCTAACATACAAAAAGACTGGAATCAGATAGGTCTTTATAAAATCGACCCTTTCCCTCAAGGAGAGCCGCCACCACTTCCAGCACTTCACCTTCAGTCTCGACTCCCAATTTGCTTTGGCGTAATCGCCAGGGTCAAATGTAATGACTAGCACTTTGATCTTAGACTGGGGCTCCGGGAAGGTATCCGGGAGTGAGAAGTTCTCACCCTCCGCACTCATCCAGAAAACGTTGCACTTGTCATGGTTAATCTTGGAACCTGATGCCTCCGCATACTGCCCCATCTCCGAGACCACCACATCCGCCTCTTCTGCCCCGGAGATGAACACAGAAAAATCATCAGCATAGGCTTCAACTAGAGATGAGCGAATCGAACCAGGCGAACCGGAATTCGATACGTATTTCAGGAAAAATTCGATTCGCGGCGAATCCGAATATTTGCCTACTTCGGGTGCGCTGCGCGAATCGGATTTTTCCCGATCAGCCGGCAAAAGTGTCCCTGCAGAGAGCTCCGCTATTTCTGTGACAGTTCTCTGACAAAAGGAACACATGTACAGCGGTTGAAACATTGTATCTATTAGTTTCCATTTAGGATACAGATGTTTTCAACCGCTGTGGAGCTCTGCAGATACACTTTTTGCCGGCTTGGAATTAATCTTATTTTCATCCTACTTCTTCTTTTCTTCTTCCTCATCCTCCTCCTCAGAAGAAGAAGAGGATGAGGATGAGGATGAAGAAGAAGAAGAAGTAGGATGAAAATAAGAATAATTCCAAGCCGGCAAAAAAGTGTATTTGCAGAGTTCCTCTATTCTGCAGATACACTTAGAGGAGCTCTGCAGATACACTTTTTGCCGAGAGGAGCTCTGCTGATACACTTTTTGCCGGCTTGGAATTAAT